CCCCAAAACCCCAAAACCCCAAAACCCCACAAAAGAAGCTGAAGATTGAACTTATAAACTTTTAGTACAAATAATGGATTATATTGGGGCATTCCCAGAAAATTATTCATTTGAAGGAGATAGTCAATCCTTTGATCAGGTGAGGAGACAGATCTTTAGGGGCAATAAAGGTTATTCATATGACGTAAAGTTCTTGCTTGTAGGGTACTTCAGAAATTATTCTTTCTTTGTTCGATATAACCTAAGTATTGTTTTCATAGTAGAAATTAAACAGAAGCTTGTTTATAACAACATCAGTTTCTTGTATTAATAGAAGGTTTAACAGTAGTTAATCATCGAAGTCAAAATTTAAGATCCCTAATTATGTTATTTAGAGCAATTTTAACGATATTCCTGATGAAGAATTTCTCCATTTTCTAAAAGAAGTCAACAAGTCGCACGAGGAAAATCTTCAGACCCCAACAATAAAATGGACTTTGGATAAGGTTGACTTGAACATGAAAACGATGCTTCCTGATACACATCCTGATGATTTATTTGGAGAGGATTCCACTTCAGGGTTGGAGACTAACAAATTTTCTGAAAATTCTTTGAATCCAAGTATCCCAAAAGTGATGAAGAAGACTTGTAAGAAGACCGAAGGCTCTTCGAGGCCAGATATTGAAAACAGAAAGGCATTGAGGATTGTGAAGAAGTTCTTTCATCAACTGTTTCTTTATCATAACGACAAGCTTAAAAATAAGAGATTTACTAAAGTCAGTTCATCAGAGATTCTTGAAGCCCTTGAACAATTGGTATCTGTATACATCCCTCAAACTCCTTCAAAAGAGATGGCAGAGTGTTTGTTTCATTTCCTGAATTTTCACTCTTCAGATGCATTCCAGCTAAAGTCAGAAGCGGCAAAAGCCGGAATGCAACTTTATGAATGCACTCATAAATATACAAGATATCTTTTCAACCGCTTACCCCAATCAGTCTACGTCAAACACCTAATATCATCATACACAACTCTCAAATGCACTCCTCTCCCTTCCATCCTCTCCCTCCACCACTCCCAAACCTGGCCCCACCAATACCACAAAAACCCCAAAAACCTGCACAAAATCCTCACTCACCTTCTCTACCAAAAAATCCCTCCCCCAATCCAAGCCAGCCTGACCAGACTCCACGATCTCTGCCTGTCCCCTCCAAGCTTAAAATAATTTTCCCCTAAAAATTCAACTAAGTGCCTTATCAGCCCACTTTGTTCTTGGACACTACTAAAAATTTGTTCTGTGGTATACTTCTTGTTGGCAAGGGAGGTTGGGAGGAGAGGGGGAAGAGGAAGGGTGTGGGGTGGGACTGGGGATTTTAGGGGGAAAGGGGTAGAAGGGAGTTTAGGGGAATTCTGAGGGGTTAGGAGGGGTTTTAGGGGTGGTGTTTAATGTTGGGGTATTGGGAATTTTAGGGGGGATTTGGGTCCTGAGGATATTTTTTTTGGCAAGTTTAGAGTTTAGTATGCAATTTAGGAGGTAATAAAGAAAAATTGCTTGGGAAACAATTTAGCTTCAAACTCTCTTCTCTTAAGTCTAGAGGTTAAAATTTATGTAAAAGAATTTATTACAGGAAATAGCACATTTACCAATATCAATTAAATTTGGGCAATTAATGATCGAATGTTGGTAACCCAATAACCCAGACCTCAGGAAATGCTTGAAATAAAACATCATGGTAGTCTGTTCCTTATCATCAGATATCCTAAATAAAATTCGATAAGATAACTCTAAGTTTTCCATGAAAACGAATTCATTCAGTCTGATATGATCGGGTTGATAATGGTGCAATTTAAAAAATAACAGAATAAGCTTAAGCAAGAGTGCATACCCATAAATTTACAGGTCTTCTTAAATGCTAGTTTTATCTAGTTGAGAGTCAATAAAATTTCTAATTGCTAGAAAGTAAGGCGTCTACAGTGCATTAACCGAACATATTATATTTCGATGAACAAAATCTTAACTTAAGAGTACTCTCTCAAATTCTGTTATTTTTAACATAATCTTGTCTCAAAATGTGTTCCTTTGTGGGATTATGCTCTTCCTAGGATTCATAGTAAAGCTTTTAGATTAATGAACATATTAAAATTATGAAATTCTCCCAATTTTTGTATCCGTAGTGAGTGACTAAATCGGATTATCAAGTCCTTTAATTAAGAAAAATATGAAGTGAAATTACTGGTTTTGATGTTATATTTGCTAGCACAAGCTTACTTTGCTTACCAAACAAATCAGTTGAGACTTGTCATTACATAAAGGAAAGATTATTGAGCTCTGTATAGATATGACTTTTTGTCTACTTACTCACTTTAAAGTTTATATTTCGATTCAAAATTTCCTTCCAAAAATTTGAGAGTGGATCTACAAAGATGCTTTAAGAAAGAACACAAGAAGTTAGCCAGGAAGTGAGTAATAAATAATAGTTGACTTTTAGTAAATATTTGCTAATTTATCTTATTTGAGACAAAATAATTCTATTATCCTTTTTTAAGAGAAATGACATAACTTAACTCTCTATAAAGCTAATTCCCGTTAATAATAAATTTTGAGGACATATCAACTGTAACAGCTCATTCAAGAATTTTAGCTGAAATAGCTGATAATTAATTTAGTACAAAAAAGAGAGGAAGATTATCCGAATGCTTTATTTTTGTGAGTTATTTAAGATGATAGTGATCCTTAGGATACTTTTGGGTTAAAAAGGTCTGGCTAGAAATGATAATTTAGTATGGGGCTCTTCTGGGCATTAGAAATACCACTTTTCGACATATTAAAATCAAAAATTTCTTATTAAATGACTCAATTCTTCAATTATAAAACTCTTCTAATATACCTTTCAACCATAACCAATAGTCCCGGGGTTTTGGGGTTTTGGGGTTTTGGGGTTTTGGGG